TAGATGTGTCTGGTCATGAAGGATGCATCCAGTGGATGCAGGGGAGACAGATACCAATACAACAGCCAAGGGCTATTGTACAATGTGCCCACCTAAGCATGTGAAGAAACTAAAATCTGTGGTCGATATGCAAATATGACTATGAGCCAGTCATCTGACCCCCATAAATAGTGAGCAGTCCAAGAGCCCTTTGAGTTCTCCTGCATGGCAGTGGGCTGCACATCAGGATCTCTCCTTGAGCACAGATGCCTCTCAAGGTTACTTCTCGAGGTTGAGAGGTTCCTTACCTCAACAGATTCTTGGTAAGTGGCTAATAGCATGCTACACTTTGAAACCTCAGCTAAGTGATATAAAGGATTGATTGCACACATATAATCCTTTAGACATAAACCGTTAACCAAGTCTGGGACTAAGATTGGATCCAGCCGCATCTAGACTCCTATCTGAGGAAGGAGTTTAGAAAGCAAGGGGATCTTTTCTGAACCTCATGACTCAATGGGAGGGTCTCCCTGACAGTTTTATCTGACCCTGTCCTCTATGCGGTAAATAACTAAGCGTACCTTGCCATCGAATCTTATAAACTACTGTCACATTTACCATTGAACTTTGTTAACTCATTGTTTTACATCAATAAACTATGGTTTTTTTGCTTCCCTCTCACTCCATCTGTAACAATATGGTAAGAAAGGCTTTTTTGGTTTTTTTTCTTGCCCCTTTATTAAGCTTTTTCTGACTGCTCCAGTACTGCAGTAAGATCCAGTATGGCAGCCTCACTCAATTCCTAAGCCTGATTCATTTCTAAAATAGGCCATGCTGTACAGAGTTCAAGGAAAGGATCTTGAAAGAAATAGTTGTAACTGCATAATTTAAAGCTATATAAAAATGAATGTACCGAGAGCATTAAAATGTGCTTATACAAGCAACCTTAATTGTGGCATTTCTTGATACTGGAGCGTTTGACTTTCAAACACCTAATTTTTGTGTCAAAAGACACATAAGTACAAGCTTATGATTTAATATATTAAAAGTAACCTTAGGTATAAATAAGGAAGATGTCAAGAATGCCACACAAATAGAAACTAAGTCAATTTTGACAGTTCAAACAAGTTTTCAAAAAGTGTATTCTTGGTCACATTCACATAGTACTGTAGGGACTACAGCAATGTGATACTGGAGCTCAGCCAGGTGGCAATGAGAGGAGAGGCCTTGTATCTGGTCACACAAGTAGGGGTGCGTGCAAGAGGAACCAAAATTGCTGGCATTAGGCTGGGACCATGTACAGCAAGGGCTACTTTGGACCCTGAACCCCAGCTGGTCCCCCTCATCCAGTGCCCCAAGTCCAGCCTCTGCCTTGACTTCCAGTAACTGACAGCAGCAGCAGCAGCTCTGCACTCGCACACTTGTGATGGGACCAGAGCAACCTCAGCCACACATCTTTTGCAGTGAAAAATTGTCTATTCATTTTTAAATTAAAAATGGGTGTTCGATAGTTCTTATTCTGCTTCTATTCTGCTTGTGGGATCCTTAGACATCATTAGGGGAAGGTTTTGAAGCAAGAGTGCTGTTTCTTCATTACATGATTATTTGCAGCATTCTTTCTACTAAGTGTCTTTATTCAGAGGTTGCAGCTGAATTCCATAGACATAAACAGGAGTTTTTTCTGAAGAAGAAAGTAAAAAATGCTAAACAGACTGTTAACTTTTTGTTGGGTTTGGGTTTTTTTTTTTTTTTTGTTCTGAGATAGATTAATCTAGTTCCTTGTGTCCTTTCTTGATCTATTTAAACAAATCACTGAAATATTACATTTTCTCAGAGATGCTTTCTATTAAGTTTTCCTTTTTGTTTCACTAGTGTACTTCAGATGTGCCTCATTCAAGACAAGAGGTTATGCTTTTCATATGCTACATTTTCCTAGCCACAGGCCAAAATAAATACTACCACTCCTGAAACCTCAAAGTCCTACTTATACTGAGTCCTACTTATACTCACCAGCAAGCAAAACAACACAAGACTAATTAGATAATATTGATGAGTAATACTAAAAAGTAAGTCCAAGAAGTGGGTTTTCCAGGCTTTCATTCACAGATCCACATAACAAAGTTAAGAGAAAGTGGCTGTACTTCCTCTTTGTTACAAACCTTCTAAGCCATAAATATTCCAGCTTGCTGTGAAAGAGTTTCAGCAAAGACAGCTGAGCCTCAAGGACAGAAATACATAGTGTGATGCCATTTTCTGGAAGATATATATGATTGTAATGGTGTATAATGCAAACAGATTTGCATGGCTGTTCATTAATAATCCTTGAGCCTCCTCAGTCTCTTCAGAGATGATTAACTCATTGTTCTAAAAATTTCTGAGTCTTTGCAGGCCTATTTCTGTGTAATAAGGAGAAGCTGTAAAAAAGTCATGACGCCCGCCCCCACAACTAAAATAAAAAAGGATTACTTTAGCAAACCTTTTGTAATAAGGTATATTAACAATTAAAATATGTCCTCTCCATTGTATCAGTGAGTGATGATGGAAAAAATGATGTACGTACACATAGAATAATAGCTGTTCTCAAAACTTTAAAAAAAAGCCTTTATTTTATTTGGTAGAAAGCTATAAATTATACATATAAAAATAAACTATACCCAGGTGAACTATTATTAGGCTGTAATTTTAACCTATCAATTCCTAAAGCCATGCTGTGCAGGATCTTCTCTCATGGTTTACAACCTCAGAGGCATCCCTCTGGTACTTACCTAAAGGTTATTTTTTACTCTCTATTTAGAACCTATTCAGATCCAGAGTCTTTTTCAAGGTTCTACGTGCCATTCCAGACAAAAAAAAAAAAAAGAAATACACAGGAGTATCATTACAGATTTGAAGTTGCAGTTATTCCCAGATGAAAATATAAATAACAAAGAAGATTCAGTGCAAGATGTATGAATGTGACGGAGAGACATAAAACTTCAAATGATCCATTTTGTAAGATACCTCCATCTGTAAAACAGTTGGAGCCTCTAAAGGATCTAGAACAGGATAAGCTTTATCCATCCAAATAGCTGGGTATCTTCTCACTAGACATATATTTCTAAGCCCTAGATCTTGCAGAAGATTTGATCATGTGGGGAAGTTTTGATGTACCATGTGCAGTTGAAAGGGAGAGGACAGTGATGTCCCATGTGTGAATTAGACCTTTGGTAGATAATGAGTCAAACTGTACCTATTTCTTCAACTTTTCCTTTTTTCCCTCTCTTTACCAATGCTGTTGGTCTGAAAACCAACTGAAGTGGAAGGAATATACTCTACTGGGTATTTCAAGGCAGATCATATCACTGGAACAAATAATACCTCTAAAGACTAAATAAAAATTTTAACTGCCTCCAAATATAAGCCTGAACCATATGGCTGGTTGGGAAACATTCTAGATGACACAGCTCTGGACTTCACAAAAAATCAGTTCCAGGTTTAGATACTGGTTTTGATCCATCTTTATTCCAAGTAGCACTTACTAGTGTTCTTAAGCTGTTTTCATATCTATTAAAACACAGTGCTCAAACAGTTGCTTCTCCTTTCTCCCTTCCTTCCCACCCCTGTTCATTTCCCCAGACATGACAAGCATCCCAACATTTACAAGTTTAGGGATGCAGGTGGCTGAAACAAACAAGTGGAAAGAGGGTGGACTGAGTATAATTGTACAATAGGTGCCAGGTTTGTTATATATATTAGTTCACTTAGTAATACAGAGAGTATTTTAACCAAATAAAAGATAAAGTATGCGAGTTCTTTTATTTACTGTGTTTTTGCCAAGCTTTTAATGAGACTGGGCATGTCTGAAGGTATAAAACCCAGAAAGTGTAACATTTTACCTGCAGAAAATTACTTTACACCCTCAGGAAATTAAATTCTGATCCTTTTGAAGTCTGATCTTTTGAAGAAACAGAATACACGGGGATGAAATATCCCAGTCTCTAGTATTTTTTCTACTTTGGGGGTGATTTGAGAGAAAATAGGGGTAAGAAAGTATCTGCCTCATTTATTTTTCCTATAATTGTGTTTAACTTGCTGCATCATAACATTTTCAGTAACTCACAAAGGGTCAGAGAATTACATCTGTAATTTACAGTTGGGCTAAACTCCCTTTAATCAGGAACGGCAATTAAATATCTGAGTCAAGAAGAGAATGTGAACTCTTTCACATGTGGGATTCTCCTTGATGGTTCACACCACTGTGAGCATAACTTAGCATGGACAGCAATATTAGACTTAGTTGAAGCTTATTACTTTAAAAAAATTATTTATTACCACTGCTAATTTTTTATCCCACAAATTGCCAGCCTTCACGGAACGCCTTAGAAAGTAGGAATTTCGGTTTGAGGTGTTGGGTTTGAGCCCATTGCCAATTGCCACTTTATGTGTTATCACTTACAGTGTCAATAAAACCCTACAAATATGTCATTCTTAGGAAAATATATTTTTCCTATGAATTTCGGCTGTGTCTTCAGTCATAACATTCCTACCAGAAGCACAAAGTTAAAAAACACTGCTTTAGCCAAATGGCAATCTATTCTGGCACCTCAGTTTACATTTTAATTTAATGACACCTTGTTTTACAATTATTATGATGTGGTATAAGACCCCTGAGAGGAATCCAGCTAAGTAACAGCTAAATGGTACAAAAAACATGTTTACCCTTAAGATGGTAATCTTTTGTATTCATGAAATCACTAATTAATGTCTCTCATAGAGGTGAAATTTGTATTGCAGAATTACTGCGGGGGCAAAAAGGTAATTTTCTTTTAAAACGTATATACCATTATTGTTGTATGCATCAGAAGATATATGCTCATTACTGTCTGGATTAAGAGTTTCTAACAAACCCAGAATACTCCAGATCTCCATCATACTACCCTCGTTCTAATAGCACTGAGGATGAGTAAAACAGAACACAGCCTTTTGACTGGGGCACGTTAACACAGTGCTGATGGCTTAAATGTATCCAGTGGTAAATTTACCTTTGAAAGGTTCCCAGCCTCCAAATAGAAGCAGATAACAAACACGTTCCATGTAACCCAAAGGACCAGCCAGACAGCATACTGCAGGGAGGAAGAGAGAAAGAGCGCATTAATAATTAGATCGTTAGTTCAATCCAAGACAAAAGCAGACTATATGGTGCCTATGAATAAAAATGTTACATACAAAAGAGAATCAAGAACAACTTATTCCCTTTCACAGACACAGTCTAGAGTGACCTAGTGAGTACTCCGTCACACCAGAAAATCTGTATCTGAGAAAACGGTTGATAGAACTGACATTTGAATTTGAGACAACTTTGGATCTCTTGTTATTGTTCAAAAGGGGAATACTGCCATATCAAGAGAGGCATGTAATATCAATTATACGTGAGAATTGCAGAGCTGTTTATTCAAATGGTTATTCAAATATAACTCACTAAATAACAATGTCCAACTGAAGTAGGTGCTGGATTCTGCAACACTTTGGACTTAGTGTCAAGAAACTAAACCTATATTTATATAGGTATATAAAGGAGGGATTTGGTCATGACAGCTGCCTCTATCAATATATTTTGTGACATTGCAAAACATGGTTCATAATTCAGCACCCTCAGGGGTAGACTGTGTTTTAAATGGCTGATTTCTTTGGGGTTTTTGTTTTTGTTTTGGTCTGGGGTTTTTTTTATACAGTGTAATAGGAGAAGTATTCATGCTTAAGCAATATCTGTTCATTGATGGTTGCCAAGCTTTTTATTCACATATCTGATGTGAGTAATGGAGTACATGTTTTCTCTCCTTCTGTCCACTACTTTGCTGCTTTTTTGTATTCATAAGACCTTATGTGCTGGGACTGGAAACTACATCTCCCTGACGTAATGCTGGAGGATCTTGTATAATAAAGTTTGACCTGCTGTTGCTACTCTTATCTAATGCTTGTGCTTGAGAACTTCCCTTGACAAATTATTCCATCATCTAATAAACCGTAGGATCTACAACTGTTTTTCTAATGGTTGTTGTAGCTATCCTCTAGCTGTTCACAATTCAATTCTGCATGTTTGCTAATTTCATTCCACAGACCCATGGCACTGCATATGTGTGAAATATAACTGAGGCACAATGTTATTCCCTACCTGTTATAGCTGAGGGTTATTTGCTCCCATTATATCTCCAGTCCATTTCTCTCAAGCATTTACAGACTTACTCTTCTTGTTTTGTTGTCTTTTCTCCAAACTTTACTGCTTAAATTTTGTTAAACTATTTTTCCAAATCAGGAAACACCTTTTTCTGCACACCTCTGTATTATATCACCTTCTGAATAAGCAGACAATGCTTTAGACTGTACACTATCCATCCCTTACAAAAAATATATGATAAACCACTGTTTATCACGAATTACAATCTCGTTCTTTAAATTCAGTAACTACCTATGTAGGATTCTTCTTGCATTTCTCTTGGAAGTGCTGTTTTGCATTACATTGTCTATCATTCAGCATGCCATTTTCTACTTAATCTTCTAGATACTGTGTGAATAATACAATTCTGTCCTTTCTCAGGAGATCTAAAGTGAGACTGTATCCAACATGAGTAAAATTTAGGCCTGTTCCAATTTCTTATTTTTATAGATAACCAAATAATTGCCAACCAGTCTAGCTACACCTTGTACAGATTTTAAAGAATAATGATAAATATTGCTTGGATCTAATGGAAGCCAACACAGTTTTAAATGCTTGGATTGCATTACACAGAAGGCATTTTAGGTAATTTAAAGCATACAGATTACATATAGTTTATAGGACAGCTTTTTCTGGTCCATAGATCTGGTCACAGCTCATAGATAGACCATAGATAGAGCCCATAGAAGGGACCCTCTGGAGGTCACCTGGTCCAATCTCTGCTCAAAGCACGACCAGCACAGATCAAATCATGCAGGCATTTGTCTACTTGAGGTCTGAATATCTCCAGATATGGAGTTTTCATGGCCTCTCTAATGCACATCTACTCTTTGAGTGTAGGCTGCTCATAAAACTTTGGAACACAAGAACTTAATTCAGATTTTTCTTAAAACGAGCTCTGAGACATTAAGTATATTGATAATTTCATTTTCCTGTAGCTTGCTCATGGTACACCTGGCTTTACAAGTGTCATGGAGCATTGTAACTACCAGAACAAGATAAGTAAACATTAATTTAGATTCAATAAACTTGATTGGTCTTTTTTGTTTTTTCTAATTTTTCAGCATTTTAACTTGCCAGTTTTTGCCAATTATTTTAATACTTTAATATTATATACAAGTATACATATATTCTGATGGAGTCAATACAAGTATTCCTTTTGATACACAAAGTTAATTGGATTTCTTATAGTGAAAGTTCTAAATACTGCATTTAGACTGGTTTCCTAGAAAAATGAGACTTAAGCAGTAACATCCACGTGTGGTGTCTGTTCTCTTGAAATAACTTTTGTGCTCCTGAACAAGTTTAAGCAAACTGGACAAAAGGCTAGAAGATTCAAAGATTTTTTTTCACAAAAATTTCAGGAAAATAGGCCTACAAATGGGAAGAGAGATTCTATTAAGTCCTCCAGAGAAAGACTGACAAGATCATCTTTTATCAGTCAACACGAAGGGGAAAAATGTGGGCGAGAGAGCCACTGGAAACCAGGTTTCATTAGATCACCTGTTCATGGTACAACTTGTCACACTGCATTGTAAGCAACAGCTGATTACAAAGCTCCCCGTGCACAGCACATCCAGCAGAAGACTCCAAGACACTTCGGAGCTGTTTGTCCCGGCAGAGGGCCTTATGCTTACACGACAAAGTGAAACTTCTCTTTTCCACTGTCTAGTCTATCACAAAAAAAAATGACAAATTTATCTTACTTTTAGATACACTCTTTTAAAAAGCATCTGCTGTTATTGGACTAGAGATAAGGTTTAAAAATGTCTTTTAAAAGTATGTTTTAAACTGCTTCCTTTTGAAATGTTATATTAAGTGTTTGCTGCCTGAATTCTGCGGATAAACACTGGATATAATTATCTTGAAATACAAGGATGCTTTTGCTTCCCACTGCTTCTTATTTCAGATGCTTCAGATCTAGCATATCTCTTATCTCTGGATCACATGCAGTCATAAATGCCTCTTGTTGTCTATGTGCTTCAGCAAATTGTTGCGGAAATTCAGCTCTGAAGGTCTGTGACAACGAACAAATCCCTCTGGTACTCTCTATTATATGTATCTAATTAGAAACACATTTTATAAGAGTTCTTCAAAGGGCTATAGCTGTATTTTTTTCTCATATGTGGGAGTTCAAGCCAGCTGCATTATCTGACAGAAGCCACCACAATGCTACAGCAGTCACTTATCAGCAAGACAAGAACCTTGATGAACACACACTTGACCAAGCAGGAGATACTGACAGGAGGCATAGCAATGACAACACAGCTGATTATTTTTTTGGAAATCCGCATAGGAAAGAGGTGTAACTGGAAGGCTAAGGCTGAAGGTTTAAGTACTTACTATTTTGCAAAGCTGTAGCCAACCAGTAGCAGTTACTCTTTTTTGTAAAATAAATTATATAAATGCAGCTCTTATATGGTAGGATATGCTTACCATTCTTCAAGTAAACATGAATTTACAACCCTCTACAAAGAATTATGAGAAGAATTACCAAATTTGAAAAGTTGCTACGAATCATCACAAATTAATATAGGATGCCTTTTTTATTGGAGAATGGGAAACTGAAATATTAAAATACTTGCAAGGGTACTAAGAATTCATACCTCCCTCTTCACACTTCTCTCAAAGTTAGCTAAGTCGCATTATCTTCATTTTACTAACAGGGAAACTGAAGGTCAAAGAAATTAAATGACTAGACTTAATTCCACAGCTCAATAGAAAAATGAGCATAAGGGCACAAGAACCAAAGGTCCAGGTAGCCTACTACTGCCTTTGATATAAACCCGGTCACCAGAACGCATATCTAATTCTCTTGTCACTTTGCCTGAAGGAGAAATGTCACATACCTTTCAAGTATAAATAGTGAGCAACCCTGATAGCTATGAGCATTTCAAATTTAAGCATTTTTTTCACAGAACTTTACATGGCATTTCTCTTGCTCCCAAATTCTTTTTGGATATGTAAGTGAATTTCAATCACATTTGACTAAGGTATACAAGGGCTCCAGACCTACAAGATATTACTTTGTGCAATTCAAAGCCATTGGATTGTTGTGATTAGTGATTTGCTACTTATTTTCTTTTTAGAAATATACACAATTTGAGTTACAGATTCTTCCAAATCTGAAAATATTATTCCCCAAGACCCTCCCATGCTCCATTCAGGAAAAAGAAAGTAAGTGCATTTCTAAAATAATTGCTACATTTGCCATAGTAATTAAAAATGTGATTGTTTATGCTACCTGGGCAACAGTACTTGAGTTGTTCAAAGATTACCTTGAGCCCAGCATGTCTGGAGGAGCACCTCTTTCAAATAACACAGTAACAACTGTCCACAATTATCATTATCTTTGCTTCTAAAGTTATTTTCCCCTAATTTCCTCTACCTATGAAGATATATCACTTAGAAATACAATTTTCAAACTTATCTTTTCCCCATCAAATCTGGTAACAAGTGGAATTCTGAATATTTGGCATCAACATACTATCTAAACTTACTGATAACATTCAGCTAATCTTTGAGGTGCCTACAGCTCTGCTTACCTTTGAAAAGCCCCTCTGAAATAGAAACAACTATTTGGTGGAGTCAGCTGTTCCTGATCAGCAAAGCCCATGGTTTAGTTGTCATAATTTTCTGTGGTGCTCCCTGTTTGAACCTCTTCAGGACCAAACAGCAAAAGTTCTGCCTCTTTTATTGCCACTTTCCTGGAACTAGTAAAAGACCTCACCTAGACTCCCCTGGGAGAAGTCCACTTGAAGTGGCAACAACAGCAGTCTACAGGGTGACTTCATGTGGCCACTTAGTAGACATTATCCTCTAATTTAATCTGCCCTGCACATTCTACTGTTTCCTTTCCATTCCCATTGCCTGAGGCTTTCTCCTGAGAGCTGATGAGGGTGTGGGCAG